GTCTGCGTGCCTGTTTCTATCACCAGACTTGAACTACTAGTTGGGATAGGAACCACATGTGATTTTTCTTTCTCTCTGCTTTTGTTTACCCAATCCAGAGCCATACACTTAAGAGGCATGTGTTTTAAAATTAGAGGAAATGATTTGGTGGCTTGCTTTAAATACATCTCTAGCAATTTTATATTTATGAACATATTCTCTTCCCAAAAACAGTTTCAGATCAACTTGGCTTCTTATATGTTAGTAATTATTGAACATTTTAAATTGCCATCTAGCCATATTGCAATTAGAGCAAAATATGCTGCACAGTTATGCTAACTAGTGAGTGATTTAAGTTATTACATTTCTCTCTATGTTTGTGAATGGTTTATCAGCATTCAGACTGAGTACCTAAGTCATTTAAACGTCTCTATGTGTGTATACACAAATGTTAATAATAACCACGCTTTGCTCAGCTCTTACATCTTGTAAACCTGTAGTGTTGGGCTCCTACGCTATGCTAAGTGCTTTATATATATAATTTAATCTTCACACAATCTTGTAGTATAAGTATTTTTATTCAAGGCTTATGGAAGGGAAAATGGATTTTCACAAAGACTGCATAAATTCCTAAGGCTATCCAACAGATGAGTGGTAGTGCCAGGATTTGAACTCAGGCTAAGTTCGAAACCCATACCCTTATGTATTTTCTGTGAATAATCTCAGTCGGCTTTTTCTTCCCTGAAATCTGGGTTAAGGCCATTTCCTTTTTTTATGTATCCTCAGTGCAATGAAAAGCAAATATATCCTTTGAATTGATCTTATTTCTCAAGCTGGGGAGGCCTCCCAGAGAACAGAAATTAGTTTAGGGAAAATTTCAGGTCACCTAGTGGTCAGGGCAGGCTAGGTCATGCTATAGTGAAAACAACCTCAAAATCCCAATGGCCTACAACAAACATTTATTTCTAGCTCGCATTGTAAGTCTGTGGCAGGCTCAGCTCCATGTCCAGAACCCAAGCTGGTGGCAGCCTTGATCGGAAATATAGCCTGTCTTCAGACAGAAGTAAAAGGGGAGCAGTGAAAACCCACAATGACCTTGTGGGCCAAAGTCACATGGCCGAGCCTGATACCACGGGGTGGGGATGAAAATCGTTGCCCAGAAAGGAGCAGCTACTAGTTTAAACAATATTACAGTCTATCATGGAATTCTTTTTCACCATGGAAGATATAGATTATTTTAGTTTGGCAAGAACATTTTTGTTTTTAAATCCATAGCACTGTGCTACTTTTGCCAGAACACTATGGTTATTACCTGTTTTTAATTCAAAAAGACAACATTTCACCTAAGAACTCAGAACTCAGAGAATACATATTTTAAAGTGCATAAACAGAGGTCTTTTGATAAACAAACCACATGAATATAATAAAACTAATTGTTCAAAATTCAAATATACACTCTTCTACATGTGTGTACATTATATCTCCTGAATAAAAGTCATCAATTCAAAAATTAGAAATATTTTCATTACTAAATGTTGGCCTTGTATCTTCAGTACAGCTGTGTAATTCAGCATTCAGAACATCCTTCTATTTCTCACAGTTCTGGAGGCCGGAAGTCCGAGATCAGGGCACCAGTAGAGTCAGTGTCTAGTGAGGGCCTGCATTCTGGCTCTTAAATAGCTGTCTTTTCGAGGTAACCTCCTCTACAGTTCATTAGAGCTCTCTAGAGTCTCCTTTATGTAAGAGCACTAATCTCATTCATGCGGGCTCCATCCTCGTGACCTAATCACCTCCCAAAGTCCCCACCTCCTAATACCATTACATTGGGCATTAGGTTTCAGCACAATTTTGGCGATGCAAATACTTAGTCAATAGCAGTAAATGAAATTAGCTTAAATGGATACACTGAGTAAAGCAGATTATTTAGTGTCCCATCTGTTTGTCTCCAGCTGGGATGTGGATTTTCTGCTGGTTTAGGACCTGGACTCAGAATGGAACTACACCATTGGCTCTTCTGAGTCTCCACCTTGCCAATCGCAGATCTTGAGACTGCTCGGCCTTCATATTTGTCAAGAGCCAAACCTTATAATATGTATATAAAATATTCCTTGTAATTAATACATATTCCTTATAGTTTGTATATATTTACATATGTATATGTGTGTATATAGATACATATTGGTTCTGTTTCTTTAGAGAACCCTGACTTGCACAAACAGATGAGAAAATCTTCCTGCTATTCAGTTGGGAAAACGGTGGTTTAAAGCACGGGTCCCCAACCCCTGGGGCTGCAGACCCACACCAGTCCGTGGCCTGTTAGGAAACAGGCTGTGAGGGAAGCTCGCCTGAGCCGCCTCCTGTCTCCGACCCCGTGCCCCTGCACCCACCCCAACTCGGTCCACGGCAAGAGATGAACGCAGGAAACAAGTGAATCACCCCACCCCTGCCCCATCCCTCCATCTGTTAAAACCTATCCCTGTTGCCAAAAAGGTTGGGGATGCTGGTTTTAAAAGATAAGATTTTTCTTGAGTCATACAACAAGCAAGGTTTCGGATTCCAGCCTCTGGATTTACAGCTTGGACTGAACCAGCAGTCGGGCAACTTTGCTGTGCATCCTAAATTTGGCCAGCATCCCCTGTGACCCCAAGCCCAGCGTGGCACAGGCCAGTGTGGGCTTTGTTGCCTGTGGTTGGTTTCATGAACCTGGCTCTGGGGAATCTATCAGAGGCCAGCTTTGCCCACACCAAGTGCAGAGGAGGGGTTTCTGCCTTCCAATTAGGTTGTGGCAGGCGCGAGGCATCAAGCTTTCAGATGGTTTGGCTCCTAGTAGTGGATTTTCAAGGACAAGGTCAGAGATTAGTCCAGTTGGCTCTCTCTGTGCCAGCCAAAATATTCTCAACTATAATTAAAACAATATTGAAAAGAGCCAAATAAAATGTGCAGAGGCCAAAATTTCCATGCCTTAAACCTGATAACATGTTTTAAGACCAAGTAATCAAACTAGATCAAGAAAATAATTTTGTTCAATTGAAGTGACCCCATAAACTTTCCGCTTCATGAAGGGTGTCTAATCTAGGCAGAAGCACATGGTAGATTGCCTGGCCCCCTCACCACCAGGGTTCTGCATGTAGCTGGTCTGCCGTTACACAGGCTTAGATGACAGAGGGCCAATGGGTCCATGAAAAGGCGCTCAACACCACTAATCCTCAGAAAAATGCAAACCATACTATAATGATTGGTCGCATTTTTCAAACACGAAGAATTTATGTGTCCATATAAACATTCTGGTTCATTTCTGTTTGTTTCTGAAAGTATCATATACTCATATATCAGCCAATGTAGGTGGAATGAATTATTTGTATACATTTATCTTTAATTTATGCCTTTCTACACTTGGAAATATATGTATGTGTGTGTATGTGTGTATATCTATATCTATATCTATATCCATATATGTGATGGGATATCACCTCACTTCTGCTAGGGTGGCTTTCATCAAAGACAAGAGGTAACTAGCACTGGTAAAGGTGTGGGAAAAAGAGAATGCTGCGCACTGTTTCTGGGACTGGAAATTGACACTGCCACTGTAGAAACCAGCATAAAGTTTCCTCAAATGATTAAAAATATAGCTATCTTATGAACCAGCAATCCCACCTCTGTGTATTTATCCAAAGGAAAGGAAATCAGTAACTCAACAAGACGTTGCACCCCCATGTTCATTGAAATATTACTATTCACAATAGTCAAGACATGGAAGCAACCCAAGTGCCCCTTGATGGATAAATGGATTAAAAAATGGGGTATATATACATGTATATACATACAATGAAATATTATCTAACCATAAAAAAGAAAATACTGCCATTTGTAACAACACAAATGAATCTGAAGGACATTATGCTAATTGAAATAAACCAAACACAGAAAAACAAATACTCTATGATCTCACTTACATATAGAACCTGAAACAGTCAAACTCATAGAAACATGGAGGAGCATGGTGGTTGTCAGGGGCTGGAGGGAAGAGGAAATGGGAGATGTTGCTCAGAGAATGCAAAGTTTCACTTCTACAGGATGATCTAATATACAGTAGGGTGACTATAGTTGATATTCTTCATATACTTGAAAGTGATCACACACAAAAATATAAAAGAAGATAATATGTGAGGTGATAGATGTGTTAATTAGCTTGATTTTGGTAACCATTTCATAATATATACGTATTTTAAACATCATCTGGTACACCCTATATACATACAATTTTTATTTGTCAACTATACATGAACAAACCTGGGGGTTAACAAACAAACAAAAGAACAAATCTTACACTGAGATGCCTAGCTTTCTGATTTATGATCTTAAATGAGGAGCTCATCACCCCTGGCCCTCTGGGTCTTTTATTGGTAAAGAAATTTTAATAATATGTAACTCATGCCGTCATTGCAAAAATTTAAATGAGATCATATATATCAGGGTTTCTCAGCCTCAGCATTATTGACATTTAGGCCAGATAATCCTTCGTTAGGGGCTATCCTGTGCACTGTGGGATGTTTACCAGCATCCATAGCCCCTACGCATTAGAGTAACACTCTCCCCAGTTTGTATAACCAAAAATGATTCCAGACAATGCCAGATGTCCCCTGGTGAGGAGAAAGTTGTCCTTGATTGAGAACCACTGCAATATATGAAGGTATTTTGTAAACTCCTAAAGTATTGCCCAGTTGTTAATTATTATTAATTTTTAAATTAAATCTCATTCTTTATTTTCTTAATTTTTTTCAATTACAATTTATAGTTATCATTTTGTATTAGTTTCAGGTGTATAGCATAATGGTTAAACAATTGTTTACTTACAAAATGTTCCCCTTATATTTCCATTACCCAGTTGGCACCATACATAGTTATTACAATACTATTAACTATACAATTATCCTATGCTGTACTTGACATCCCCGGGACTATTTTGTAAGTATTAATCTGTGCTTCTCAATCCCTTCACCTTTCACACCCAGTCGCCCAACAAAAATACGGAACACTTTACAAATTCACGTGTCATCCTTGCTCAGGAGCCATGCTAATCTTCTCTGTGTTGTTACAATTTTAGTATGTGTGCTGCTGAAGTGAGCACCAGTTGTTGGCTATTATTAACATGCAATGATTTTAAAGGAACCACTTCTAATTTTTAAGTATATTTTATTGATTATGCTATTACAATTGTCCCATTCTTTTTTCTCCCCTTTATTCCCCTCCTTCCGGTACCCCCATTCCCTCCAGCATTCCCTCCCCTTAGTTCATGTCCATGGGTCATACATATAAGTTCTTTGGCTTCTCTATTTCCTATACTTTTCTTAACCTCCCCCTGTCTGTTTTGTTCTTACCAACTATGCTTCTTATTCCCTGTTCCTTTTCCCTCATTCTCCCCCTCTCCCAACCCTCACTGATAACCCTCCACGTGATTTCCATTTCTGTGATTCTGTTCCTGTTCTAGTTGTTTGCTTAGTTTGTTTTTGTTTTTGTTATTTTAGGGTTAGTTGTTCATAGTTGTGAGTTTGTTGTCATTTTACTATTCATAGTTTTGATCTTCTTTTTCTTAGATAAGTCCCTTTAACATTTCATATAATAAGGGCTTGGTAATGATGAACTCCTTTAACTTGACTTTATCTGGGAAGCACTTTATCTGTCCTTCAATTCTAAATAATAACTTTGCTGGATAGAGTATCTTGGATGTAGGTCCTTGACTTTCATGACTTTAAATACTTCTTTCTAGCCCCTTCTTGTCTGTAAGATTTTGTGTGTGTGTGTGTGTGTTTTGTTTTTTGTTTGTTTTTTTTTTTGAGAAATCAGCTGATAGTCTTATGGGAACTCTGTAGTTAATTCTCTTTTTTTCTCTTGCTGCTTCTAAAATTCTCTCCTTGTCTTTAATCTTGGGTAATTTAATTATGACATATCTTGCTGTGTTCCTACTTTGGGTCCAATTCTTTTGGGGCTCTCTGAGTTTCCTGGACTGGTATGTCTATTTCCTTCTCCAGATTGCGGGAGTTTTTCTTTATCATTTTTTCAACTAAGTTTTTAATTTCTTGTTCTTCCTCTTCTCCTTCTGGCACCCCTATGATTCAGATGTTGGAGAGTTTAAAGTTGTCCCAGAGGTTCCTAAGCATCTTCTCACTTTTTTTTTTTTTTTTGAATTCTTGTTTCTTCATTCTGTTCTGGGTGAATGTTCATTTCTTCCTTTTGTTCCAAATTGTTTATTTGAGCCTTGGTTTTTTCCCTTTACTGTTGGTTCCCTGTGTATTTTGTTTTATTTGAGTTTGTATTGCCTTTACTTCTTCCTTTATTTTTCAACCATAGTCAATCATTTCCGTGAGCAACCTGATCACCAGTGTTTTGAACTCTGTTTCTGATAGGTTGGCTATCTCCTCATTGTTTAGTTCTTTTTCTGGAGTTTTCATCTATTCTTTCATTTGGGCTATATTTTATTATCTTGGCCTATCTGTTACAGTATAAGGAGTGGAGACTTAGGTATTCACCAGGGTGGGGCCACCCATTTTGTTGCATTGTGGTGCTGTATGTGGAGGAGGAGTCAGAGAGGGAATGGTGCTGGTTGCTCAGCTCTCACTCTGCTTTCAGGAGACTGGAAGTTTCTCCTGCTACCACAACTCCCACAGGTTTTTACAGCCAGAGGTTCTGAGGCCTTATCTTGCACATGCTGAAACCCTGGATTGTGTGGTCTGTCTCACTCACAAGTTGTTCCTCCAAGTTTATCTGCACGTGAATGTGGGACCACCCAGTCCACCAGCTGCTGCTTTGCCTCACGTCTTCTCCACCCCAGCTGCCTGTCTCCTCTACTCCTACCAGTCTGAATGAATGTTTCCTCTTTAACTTCCCGGTTGTCAGATTTCCACACAGTTCAATTTTCTGGCAGTTCTGTTTTTGTTTTTTATTTTTTTTTGGTTTTTTTTAAAGATTGTATTTATTTATTTATTTTTAGAGAGGGAAGGGAAGGAGAAAGAGAGAGAGAGAAACATCAATGTGTGGTTGCTGGGGGTCATGGCCTGCAACCCAGGCATGTAACCTGACTGGGAATTGAACCTGCGACATTTTGGTTCACAGCCCATGCTCAATCCACTGAGCTAAGCCAGCCAGGGCTTTTTTTTTTGTTTTTAATTGATTGTTTCCTTTTTTTGGTTGTGCAAGGAGGTGAAGCGTCCTCCATCTTGGACAGAACCCAAATCTTGACTGGTTATATTAATTTATACAAAAGAGTGATGGCACCAAAAATGTAAAAACCGCTGAGATTCTCTATGGAAATGTACAATGGTTGTTATGTGGCAGGCTGAAGTCCTGGCTGTTTTATGTTTCTAACAAAGTTTGAGTACATGGCAACTGTTTTTAGAGAAGGCAGCCAAGTGGCCCCCAAGCAAATGAGAAACAGAGGGTGCCAGTGACCAAATGCACAAGGCTCTTTCCATCTTTGACTATATAGCCCCCAGACTGTGTCCCCTTCAAGTACTGGGATAGTTTCTTCATCTTTGTATGCTCTGTATCTGTCATAGTCCATTTGGGCCACTGTAACATAGACTGGGTGGCTTACACAACAGACACTTATTTCTCACAGTCTGGAGACCTGAAGTCCAAGAGCGAGCTGCCAGCAGATTGGGTGTCTGGTGAGAAATACTTCCTGGCTGATAGATGACCAGGTTTTTGCTGTGTCCTCACATGGTGGAGAGCTTAAAGGAGCTCTCTGGGGTCTCTTTTGTAAGGGCATTGATCCCATTCATGGGGTCTCACCCTCATGACCTAATCACCTCCCAGTGGCCCCACTTCCTAACACCATCACACTGGGGGTTAGGATTTCAACATATGAATTTGGGATGGGCAGTTGGGCGCACACATTCGGTTCATAACAATCTGACAATACCTGACACATGAAAGCTATTTAATAAACTATAATTGGCATCAAAGAGTAGTTCTCAGCTTTGCTGGCATGTTGGAATTACCTAGACAACTTGAAATATATTTACTGATACATGAGCCTTACCCCCACCCTCCCCGAGATTCTGGTGTGGGGCATATTCTGGGCATTTTAAGCTTCACTGATGAGACCTAACACTGTCTATTATGTGAGAACCATTGGCATAGAAAGAACACAATACAGGTGTTTCTCTGCTACACAGATGAACATAATCCACGGGCTGATTCCTATCTGGGAAGCTGGTTTTCACTTGTCCAGTGTTCAAGCCGTCAGTGGTTAGTTCCAACCTGTCCTATCTCACCTCATCAGCTTTCAGCAGGTATAGTCTCTGGCACTCACTTCCTTCCTTCTGTTCAAAATTCTCTTGAATGCATTTCTGCATCTCTGGCCCTCTCTCAAGAGTCAAAGGCCACTCAGCCTCACATCAACTGTACTTCCTGGAGAAGTTCTGAAACTTTCATATAAGAATTTGTGATAAAGAGGAAAACAGAAGGCCAGTGTGGTAAAAATGAGGGTGATGGGAAAGTATTCTCAACTGAGAGGCTTCTAAAGGGTTAAATTATCAATTAACTCCCAAATGTTGCTGTAGTTAACAGTTATATGTGTGACTCTTCTGGAGAACAGCACTCAAAGGAATTTGTCATATCAGCAAAAGGGAATTTGGGCCTTCAAGAACGTTCTCACATCCGTTCAGAGCACATCAGTGATCAGCTCTCTCCTCTACCCGTGTGTAGAGCTCTCTCTAACTCTCTTGGAGGTGGTGAAAGGAGTAGAAGACAGAAATTAGAAAATTGCAAGAGGAAAAGCAGAAGAAAAGAAAGAGTTTGACTCCCTGGCTTTGATTCTGCTGGAATACCATGTGCAGGACCAAGTGAAGGTCTCAGACGGCAGTTGGCCTGAGTGCCCCGGCTCCCTTCAGGAGCATGTACACAGGCTGGCTCTGGGATAGTCAATGAATAATTGTGTGCACGCTTCTTTTCCTATTGATTTTTTGTGGCACTAGGGAACCCAGAGAAGAGTAACTGTCCACTATGCCCTTGAAAAAAAAGTTGAAAGCAAAACTAAGATCTTCCTAGTGTCTTATATGCTACTCTGCAGTCAAGGAGCAATTAATATTTATGCTATTCATTTTGTGAAAGTTCTCAGCACATATAAATTATTAACTGAGTTTTTCAAACTTCAGGTTATTTAACATTGGGTGATAAATAACCTGAATAGAGGAGTTCACTTACCTTTTTACATATGTAGATATAGGGCCTGCTTTGCATGTGTCTATCTGAATTAGTGCATTCCAGGAAAACCAGAAGCAAAATAGAAATAATTTTATCAAATTATGTCAAAGTTGTTTCTCAATTGCTTGGGGAAGAATTTTTTCATCCCTTATACTTTCATGAGTATGTTTTTGGCTTTAGTCAAGTTTGAGAAAAGCACGCATGTGTGATCGGGTTTGTAAAAATTTTACCCAGCATGGAGATCTTTGTTTAACCCATTGGCAAGATAGCAATCAGACACCACATTCTTGGTGAAAAGCCTCTTTTCCAGAGAGCGTGCATTCAAGAAGAAAATAAAACTTGAATTGCTATTCATAAAGCAGAATTTGAGAGACAGATGGAAGGAGTAGGTTCCATGGGAAAGGAAAGAGGGAAAGAAAGGGAAGTAATAACTTGCCAAAGTAAAGCTGGCTGTGGCTTAGAGTTCTTTTAAAAATGCCAGGGACCTTGGGAGTCAAACACTTTCCTCTCCTAGGAGGAGACGCAGGGAAAAATGACAGTTCAACAATGGAAAACGCACTTCTCCAAGGCAGAGCCCCACTTGGAAAGCATTAAAAGAGTTAGTTTAGCTAAAGGCCTTCTCTCCTTCAGTGAATCAATTACGGGATCAGTGAGAAGCACATAAAAATATTAAGTAGGGGGATTCTTAACTCAGGCTGCATGAACCTCTCGGAGGTTCATGAATGAGTTCTAGGGGAGCTGTGAAATCCCCCAAATTTAGGTTACAGCTGAATTCAGAGCTCAGAAGAAGTGTTCTATGCCAGATTGGTCATACTTAGAAGATATTTTCATATTACAACTATTGTTCTGGGTAGACATTTCACTCTTCACTAGTGCAATATTTAGTTGACTACAGCAAGTACTTTTCTGAGATATCTAATCTTT